GCGCTGTGACGGAGCCTTACAGTGGTCACCACATAAACCCTTAGACGATACGCCGTGAACCAACTAAAAAGCACTCCCGTGAAGACTGATGAACTAGAGCGTCACGGATGTCAACGCGCTGCCTTTCTAAACACCCTGACCGAGGAGAAAAAACGAGGATTCAGCAGTAAACTCATACGATGGAAAGAAAACGCGGGGACACCAAAAGATCGTCACTTCTTCAAAGGGTGCACGAAATCAAAACACAATTTCAAGACTCCGCAAAGATCCAAAGAGGTGGGTGCACAACTATTCCTCTCTTATACTCGATGCCACTACATTTGAAGCCTTATCACTTGGCCCAAAATTCTGCATACCTGTTCGAAAGGTTAATCAGTGAGACCTAGAAACCCATTTTGAGCATCTCTATAATCAAACTTACTACCTCGAGCTGATTTCCGCTGATAGTGTTCAGTACTTCGAATCAACACTGCTGAATTTTGGTTACCAGTACCTGAACCACAGACTTACAAATCGCGGATTTCAGACCAAAGCACACCTAGACAATTTGAAGCAGCTACGAGCAAAAAGAACATCTTGGTTACTAAACCAAGCAAAGGAATGGGTGTCATTCTGATGAACACATCTGATTACGTAGCTAAGATGCAGGCCATACTAGCAGACTGGAAAAAATTTACGAAAGTAGTCAGATAAAAAGACTGTACGGAGGAAATGGAGGCACAAATGATTGGCTGCTTAAGAAGAATCCACACGGCAGGATTCATAAACAACTGTGACCTCAAACAGCTGCGGCCAGTAGGCACGCACATCCCCCGTTCGTATGGCCTACACAAAATCCACAAAGATGGCTTGCCAGTTCGTCACGTCTTGGACATGCAAAACTGGCCTGATCAAAAGATAGCGATGTGGTTGGCAGATAAACTCAAACCCTTTCAGCAGCAGCTAGCGCCACATGGCTAGCAATATACTTTAAAATGTATCGACAGCGTCGGAGATATGAAATTAAACGGCATAAGGATGATCTCCCTAGACGTCTCATCGCTCTTTACAAACGCAACGGTCACAGAGACAGTAGACTACATCTGCGAATTCTCAGTGGCCAATCAGATAGAAGTAGGAAATGCCAACTGCTGCATTAAAGGAACTACTACTAAAATATACATGACATGTGCTGTTGCTTTTTGACAACCACCTATATAGACAACTATATGGCGTTGCTATGCACCCGCCTCTCGGACCTATCTTGGCTAACATCTTCATGGATAAGCTGGAGAAATTGCAACTAAGCGAGCAGATATATGAGTTAAAACAGTATGGTCGGTATTTTGATGATGCCTGCGCCATCATCCCAGCAGAAACCGACGAAAATACGATTGTAAGTACTGCTTATCAACCACACCCCTCCATTAAGTTCATCTTGGAGCTGGGGACGACAGGTTCGCTTCTCTCCTTAGATGTCCGAAGGAGGGTTTATCCTAAGAAAACCTGGTCCGGACAGTACACAAACCTGAACAGATTTGTACACATCCAACAGACGCGAATTGCCGAACACGCGCAGTCGTGCCCCAAAATGATGCTAATTCTCAAGTTGCGGCCCATTTGACGAGACCCGGCGGTACATCCAAATTTGACGAGGCCGAAATTCTCGCAAGAGGGGACAATCGAGTGAGCCGATAATTACTTGAGTCGTGGTTCACGGGCCCCCAATCCATCAACAAGTGCAACGAACCCAATGCATATTCGGCGTTGAGACTAAATTTGGCCAAAGCAAATTGCCGTTCGGGGAATACACAGGCCACCACATCATCTTATGCCAACAACACAAGGCCAAATGGACATTGCTGACACAACGAATCAGCGCACAAGCAAGTCATTTATCGATTTATTCTGTACGTTTAAATTTAACGGCAGAACCCAGTGCGCACATTAACTGTTTCCGCTACTGTTTTGTAAGTATATCTCTGAACATGAATCCGCGACGGATTTCGAAACGTCAGGCGAATATACATATAGTCCAAGCGATGGATCCGTCTTCTACTTCTCAATTACTTCCTGGGACTCGCATGTTTGCTTTTACTGATGCACTGTTTAACGCAAAGAGCCAGAAAATTCTGTTCGTCAGACACTATTAAAATGGAGCTCCAGAAACTCCAGGACCTGCCGGGGGTCAACAGGTATCCGGACAGATTCATCGTAGAGAATATGATGGAAAAAGAATCAAAGCCCTTTGCACCCACTGCAGAAAAGAAGACCCTATTCCTTAAATTTCCCTTTCAAGGGGACGCAGCAAGCGCCCTTCACAGCAGACGTATCAACGAAACCTAGCACGAACCTTACCAGCAGCGAACAGTAGGGTGTCATTCTGTACACACCCAGTCCTTCACGGCGAAGGTAAAGATAGGCTGCCAAATCCGACCACATATTTGTGGATATACTCATTCACTTGTTCCTGTGGTACAGGTTATATCGGTCGCACGAGTCGGCGCTTATCAAAAAGAATACGGGAGCACCTTCAGGCATGGCTGGCTAAAGGCGAGGTCAAAAGCATCAATAGCTTTATCCTTGCCCACATCGTCGACCTCGGACATCGTGTGGACCCTAGCGAAGCCTTTAAGGTAATTTACAAGGTCTCTCCAAACTACCCACAGTCCCTGGGTCAGCGTTTGCCGGAAACAGCAGAAGCAACCGCGATCCGGTTGAGGAAGCCTGTCTCGTGCGTGCAGAAGAACATTCTGCAAGCCCCGAGCTTGGCATGGCCAACGGTCACATAAATATCTGCATCTTGTCGCGTTTTCTACCGCTTGAAACCACTCCCCCATCCTTTGTCCGGAGTCAACAAACCCTCATCAACTTGCAACCAGCTGATAACTATCAATCCCACGTCCCCTCCCTTATCTCCATAACTAATTTGCGTTTTGTGATAACATAATCACCAGCATGTTACAATGTACCCCCCCACATATGTGAAAGTAACGGTCCGAAGAGAACTTATCGAAAGCTACGCAAGTTGCCTATATAATAATAGGTAAAATTATATTATAATACAGAGAAAGCTTTAAAACCCCCGCTGTAAATGTCATAATTTTAGATATTTAACGAGACAAAGCAAAAGGCTGAACTACAAAAAAACGCAATTGTGATAAAGGTCAATGAGTTATCTGAAAGTCGGATATTAGAGAAAGAGGGATAGCAGTGGTTTGCATTTAAGCCATTATTTTATACTAAAATTACGTGTTCAACTACTCTCGCATTAAATACTTACCATTTGTCGCGGATGCCATAGGAGAGTTTTGTAGTTTTCCATCGGAATGAAACGATTGAACTGTTGTTCTGTCCTTTCCTACGACTTCTGCCTCCGGCAAAACGGAGCCCATTGTGTTTGCTTCAAAGTCAGCTGGCAAAAGCGAATTTCGAATATAGATTATTGCGGATACTATACAAAATGTATTAGAAACCCTAGTGAATTAGCACCAATCGAACAGGAGCGGGGCTCATTCGTGCCTTAAAGTGACTTTCAGGCTTATTCTCGAACCACGCCGCAAGGCGGCTAAACATACAGGCAGAATGAAATATTCTAAAAACACCGGGAAAACTGGAATGAACTTTTCTACCCTTGTAGCCATCATTAGAGAATTATGCCCAACCCAGTCAGTTATGGATCTATCTAGTGTGGAAGGTATATACACGTTTAATCACATTGTAAGCAGCTGTCGAAGTCACGATTAGATTCTCTGTCTAGGTATTGATTTAATTTAACCCGAGCTGAAGGATTGAACGCATCACATTGAGTTTCAAGTTGCTTGTCTAGATGTTTAGCAAAACTTGTAAGGTCCATATCACTGTAAAGACTGCTTTTTAGAGAGACTATCGGTATTTGCTAATGGCGTTTGATGTTTTCAGTCAGTAAGTAACAATTTAAAGTAGAGGCGTGTACATTTCAGCACTTCGAACTTTAACTGAATGAGCGCTTTTATGTATGCTATTTTTAAATGCTTACTATTTGCAAAGGTCTCATTGAAGTCAGCGTTCGGCATTTCTCCATACAAGTGGAACAATATAACGTCCAGCACATCACTACCGATTGTGTTTGTTAGACAGCCATCTGGAAAAAAATTAATTTTAAAGGATAAGTATTGGGGTGGTAAATGGAGTGAAATGTGGTTGCCCCTATTTAAATCCTGAATTTCATTGAAGTTGGGAAAGACAATTGCTTGATGACACAGTCTTAATATGTTAAGCTGCCATGGTACATACATGGGATTTAGTTTTTAACAGCCGAATGATTACCTGTAGATAAACATACCTGTAAAATGTGTTTATAATGTATCATCTTACCGTAGGTTAACTTTAATAAATTGTCTAAATTAATACGCACCAATTTGTGGTTTCTTAGATTTGGTACACTATTTAATTGCTAAAATAATCGAATTTAAGTGTCGAAGCTTCGCATACAGCGCTAATTTGAAAATGCAACGAACAAATCAATGCAATAACATGGAAGGCTGTGTTTTGAGCCGCTTATATCAGTTTAATTATACGTATTGCACCACTATTATTTGTGGAATTCGGCAGATAAAGTTAACAAGAAGGGTATAAAGTTAACAATACAATAGAATTATATCAACATTGGATTATTTACTTTAATTAAAACTAATAGAAACACTGCGCTGTATGTAATCTGACTCGAACTCTGTGCAGTCAAAACAGTACCAGTGTACAAGGACACTTACATACCTGATTCACGAAATATGCCAGAAAGGGCAAATAATGTTTGCCAGATTGCTGCCACTGATTTGGAGATCATTGTTTTTTATAATTGTTCCAAGCAGTAGTCTGCATATTTATATATGTTACCGTGACGTGTTAGCATCTGCGCACGTACGCACGTGGCGAGCGTTCGCGCGGAGTTGGCGCCTGACCACAGAGCCTAGCCGAGAACAGCAATAATGTGATCGCATGCATCACCTGCCACGATGAAGAGCGCTATAGGTCACTACAGATGCGTCGTAGGAAAGTGACAGTGGCGGTTGCCGTCTTGGGTTGTGTAGTCTCGAGCCGCATCGAGCAGACGACCTAGCTGCGTAGAAATCAAATTAAGAAGAAACCGCAGCATTGCCATTGAGTCTTACTCCGCGCGTCAACCACACGGTTCATATTTTTCCGTCAATCGGCATGTCGCAAGGTCTATGTCTGCTTGTAGGAGCAGTGACTTGCGCAAGATTATACTGAGATTATAGTTTGGTCGCATCTACCTTGCTGTACATTTCTAATCGCCCACCTGGATAGGGTGTGAAGACAGAGTAAAAAAAGAACAGATGCGATAGAGCACGCAAGTGGCAGGCGCGGGGCCCCCATAGCGTGCAATTGGGCCCCACTGTCGGAATTTCTTATCGGCCCGCAACCCGAATATCGTCAGCCAAACGGTTATTTGATCTGCGTGCTGGTCCAGCGTATCTACA